CCTCTGCGGACCCCCTAGGGGTCGCGGACCCCCTGTTGAAGACCTCTGGTTTAACCCTTTTACCACACAGTTAGGATGACAGAGAAAGTTCCCATAAAGTGATGCACATTCATTTTAGTGACAAAAGCACAAGCAGACATGGCTACAGCAGCGTTGGGGGGTCACATGGTACTTCAGCTGTTCAGTCAAACCCCCAGTTGCTTGTTGAGCCTGCAGAGAGCATCTCCCACGATGTCCAGCTCATGTCGGAGCTCCTCCACCACGCTATTGATGCTGGGAGTGTCTTTCAGGACGTCTACGCTCTGGGTGTAGGGGTTGTATCGAACTGTGAAGGGACGTTTGATGGTCTTCGCAAACTCCCTGAATGGAATATACATGTTTAAATGCATGCAAAGAAAAATATTGTTTTTATCCCAATGATGGTCTTACATTAGAAAATAAGAGCAAAGAAAACAAACCTCATCTTGACTTTGGCTTCCTCAAAACTGTCTGACACGAAGTAGACATCTTGAAATGTTGTGATGATGCATTCCTGCTTGCATGTAACTTTGGGATCAAAAGGCATTATCCTTGCATTTCCAGACAGTGCGTGCTTTAAGAAAAAAAGGAAAATCTGGTCAGAAAATGATGTAATTTCATCCGTTGGACCGTTTTGTTCAATAAAATATCTTTTAATTATTTTCACCAAATTAAATGTCAAATGGATAAAAGGTGTTCTTTGATAACGTTGAATTTTACATCTTTTCACACCCAAATTTTGCATTAAGAAGTGTTTAGTTTACTGTTTCCTACCTTCAGCTCACTGATAGAGGACAGCAGGCCAGCTCCATATGCGCGCAGCTGCCCTTCTTGTTTGCATAGGCCAAACTCCACTGTAAAGAAGTAGCACTGAAACATAGAGACAATTAACATTTACAAAGGAGTTGGTAGAATATAAAAGACTCGAAGCGTTTATTTATGTTAGGTTGAAACTAAGGACACTCACTGTGGCCAGTTTCTGAACAGAATCATCCGAGGCTCCGAGAGAAGCGAGACCAATCTCCTGAGAAAACTGGGCGAAGCTGGGCTCTGCTAACAGCGGAACGTGTCCCAGGAGCTCATGGCACGTGTCTCTGTATGACGGCAGATATAAGAACACTGAGCACAGTCATGTTGCAATAACAAATACCATCATAAATAGCAAACAAGCATACTCACGGCTCAGGGGTGTATAAGGGATCCGAGCTGTGTCGCACATATTGAGTACAGTGGAAAACCCGGAAGGCCAAACCAGCGAGAAAGTCCCGTGGAGACAGATAACCCGCCACAGGTCTGATGGTGAATCCGGTTCGCTCTAAAAAATAGGAACATTGTGACTAA